ACGTGAGGTGCAGGCTCGGTGGGACTGACGTGAGGTGCAGGCTCGGTGGGACTGACGTGAGGTGCAGGCTCGGTGGGACTGACGTGAGGTGCAGGCTCGGCGGGACTGACGTGAGGTGCAGGCTCGGCGGGACTGACGTGAGGTGCAGGCTCGGCGGGACTGACGTGAGGTGCAGGCTCGGCGGGACTGACGTGAGGTGCAGGCTCGGAGGGACTGACGTGAGGTGCAGGCTCGGCGGGACTGACGTGAGGTGCAGGCTCGGCGGGACTGACGTGAGGTGCAGGCTCGGCGGGACTGACGTGAGGTGCAGGCTCGGCGGGACTGACGTGAGGTGCAGGCTCGGCGGGTCTGACGTGAGGTGCAGGCTCGGCGGGACTGACGTGAGGTGCAGACTCGGAGGGACTGACGTGAGGTGCAGGCTCGGCGGGACTGACGTGAGGTGCAGACTCGGCGGGACTGACGTGAGGTGCAGACTCGGCGGGACTGACGTGAGGTGCAGACTCGGCGGGACTGACGTGAGGTGCAGACTCGGCGGGACTGACGTGAGGTGCAGACTCGGCGGGACTGACGTGAGGTGCAGTCTAGGCGGGACTGACGTGAGGTGCAGTCTAGGCGGGACTGACGTGAGGTGCAGTCTAGGCGGGACTGACGTGAGGTGCAGGCTCGGCCAGTCTCCCTGACGGTGACGCATAATCTGTGCTGCTGGATTCATGGTGGGTCGGTCATTCTGTGTTTTTATTATATAGACATAAACTTTGACTCAGGCCCTGTTTACACAAGAACGCTCGCGGGTGAAAACGTAAAAATATTTTATCGGATATGCCTTTCATTTACACGGCGACAGCGTTTTGGGGGCTTAAAAACGCAAAAAAGTGAAACCACCCTCCAGAGTGGAAATCTTTAAAATTCTCCACCGCCGCGTTCCTGTGTAAAGGGTAAAAACGCCAAAGTCTGCTTGACAGTGAAGGTTGTACGCAGGCGCGCGGGCTTGGTGTTGTAGTACAGCCCATTCTCACTCCCAAGGCGTCACCTAACTGACGCCTTGGGAAGCATTTGGACATGCTTCAATATCTGACGCTTTAGGCGCCCTTTAGCGTCAGTTAGATGACGCCATAGGATCGCGTGTACCCTACCCCCACCCCACACCTAAACCTAACTGCGTCCTCTAACTGACGCTTTCCTTTAGCGTCAGTTAGATGACGCCGTAGGATCGCGTCATGTAAGTGACGGTAAAGGGCGCCTAAAACGTCAAATATTGAAGCATGGTCAAAGGTGACGCCTTGGGGTGAGAATGTGTTGTGTAGTATGCACTGTTAGCCACCTGGAGTGCATACTACATTGAATTTCACAGACTTTTGCGTCACCATCTGCACGCGGATTTCACACCCAAAACACTCGTCTAAACACAGAATAAAAAGTAAAAAAACAACGCCACTTTTGCGTTTTCTCTTCAGATCATTTCCATGTAAACATAGACTCAGACTATGGAACAGAGCAAACAACTACAAAGTCAAGAACCCACAAACACTGATACAAGACACAGGGTTTAAATACAGAGATTAACAAACTAAACAAGATAACAAGAGGGGAGTGGCTAATCAGAAACACCTGGGGAGCCTAATAAATAACAACTACAATAAGGGACTACAAAACATGGTACAGGACAGGAAATGACAAAAGTCCACACAAGACAAGTGGAACAGAAGACAGGAATCATAACAAATACACCATTGTCATGTAAACATACTCTTTTTTTTCTACCAACCACCCCTTATGGTGATATAACCTAACCCTAGTCTACTAATCTTCAACTTATACTCTTATGAAAGTTAGTTGACATGTATAACATTACTTAAAGTCAACAGAATGTGTAAAAGGGGAACCATCAAAATAAAGTGTAAACAAATTTGGTACAATGTTAATTAATACAGAAATACATCAACAGCGTATACAAAAAGGACTCATTGGCTGAATAGACACCCCTTTCGCTTTTGCTGAGGCTGTGCATGGAATACGACGTCATGATACGAGAGATGAAAGCAATCAAAAACATGTTCAGGTAAGAGCAGAAGAGGTTTGAAAGGTTTCCTTTAGCCAACACAATATCTCTGTTAAGCGGTTTGGAGCTAAACATCTTGAAATTTTAAACTTTATCTTAAATTATTGAGAAAAAATAAATTATGCAGTTTAAGCACTATATAGTCCTTTGGCCCTGGTACATGAGTCAGCTGTCGATGTGCTTCCTAACCTTTTAAATAACACACTAGTAAAACACCACTACTGTGTTGTATTAATTATTTCCAGTTCTGCATGTGTGATTATGCCTGTAAAACTGCTTGGAAAAGGTCTTAAAAATGGTAATGTTGTTTCTGTGTCTAATTGAATATTTTATTACACATTATTTTTTAATTAATGTGCTAATATAAAAGGAAAACACAGTTTTTGCCAGCTAAAAATACTATGTGATTTTATTAGTTCACATGTATTGTAGCATTTTAGAATCTTATTGTCTAGCAGTGTAGCAAACTACCTCATGCAAAATTAAATAGCAAGCTGAAAACAGTTGTAGCTGAAAAAAAAAAACCCTGCTCTAAGGTTGATCCTGCATTCGTGGTTCTCTGGTCTAATACAGTGAAAAACATTGAAAATGTTCTTCTCTATGAACGTCTCTGAAGATAGAGCTGTTCAAAAGACCCTGAACAAAGAAAATCAAGCAAATTAATTATTAACACACCCACAGCGGACATGCTGTTACATAAAGCCGTCAAGAATAATCCAGTACTACACATTATAAACTTTAAAGTGAAAATGCTTTTGGCAGGTTGTATGCATACTGCATGCATATGCCTTTTAGATGGCTTTTGCCAGCAGAAAATGTGTCTTGTTATGAAATGCTGTTTTTTCAGAATACCTTAGTGCAAAATGTGGCACATTTTGGTCAAGCACATTCTGTAGCAATTATATTTACGTCAAAAGACACTGAAAACAGCTCTTTAAAATAGTAACATAAAATCTTGACAGACTTGATTAGCTAATTGGCGTTCTTAAGCTGAGCTAATATTTCATTGAGACTTAAATCCTGGTGTGAAATGGTTTTATATGAATGGTTTTATATCTGATTCGAAATGTGGCATTTGATAAGTGTATTAGCAGCAGGTAGTTGAATAGCTCAGAGAATGATGAGCCATGTAGTGATATTAGCTCTTACTCAGTGACTGCTTTGAGAAAAGGTTTATGACACAGAGCCATCTGCTGTTCATAATACACTATTGCAACAATAATGCACAATCATGACATCAACCACCAAATTCACCCACCCACACCTTCCTCCAGAACACGTGAGGCCATGATGAACTGAGAAATGGGAATGTTTTGAGAACAGAAATCCTAATGAAAAACAAACGGCAGAAAACCATATTTTAATATAACAGAATATACTGTGCTTATGGGTCCAGGTCTTCTGAAATGACTATGTGTATATTAAATGGATTAAGTCGATGCTGTCATATTGACTTATATGTCACAAGACAATGGTTGTCAATGGAGTGACATGTTCCTATATGGCTTCAATGACCTTTAATATGATATCAGTGGCTAATGTTCTGATGTTCTGGGATAGAAGAAGGGAGTCAGTCCACAGCATGGCAAACTGTCTGAAACATCAATTTGAAATCGATTGTGTCATACAGGGTTGGACAAAATTCTGAATTTAATATAGATATATTTACTGAAAGCCATTTTATACATTTTGAACAGAGGTCCTGCAATGCTATACCAACACTGGGGCAGTAGGGTACGACACCTTTTTTCTGAGTGAACGGCCAACAGATGTACTGCAGGTGGCCAACAATTGAGTTTTTTTTTTTTTGTAAACGATCTTTAAAATACATTTTACATGAGTCTATTTGAACAATTATGTGTCTGACTGATTATCTTTGTAATTTGTAGCTTTGGGAAATGTGTTTAAGCAGTTACAAACCCAACTGGTTAGAATGGACACCTGACATTGTTCCCAAATATCCACTATAGGAGCCACTAAACATGCTGTTAGGTGCTCATAAAAAGTGAGCTGTACCAAATTTGTCACCTTACCCTCAAGTTGATCCAAACCTTCATTAATTTCTTTTATCTTCTTAATACAAAAGAAAATTGTGGCGATCAGTACGAGGCAGAGAGACGCGAGAGAGCGGCAAAAGGCCCGGTGGTGAGTTGATGAGCGACACCTGTGATATGATATGCATCGATAGTAGCCTGCCTCTAACGGAGGAGCAGAAGCATAAAGCTACGACAGTGAAGATTGAGAGTGGATCCAGTGTTTTCTTTGTGTTTTATTATGTGATGGCAATCATCCATAGGGGCTGTCTTGTACTTTAATTTTGTATTTGTTTATTTTATTATTAAAACCTTTAAATGTTCACCGGGTTCCCGCCTCCTTCCCGTAACAACGAACCCGTTACAAAGATATTGACTCATATGGGGGAAACATACTATGGAAGTCAATGGGGTCCATCCAACTGCCTGGTTACCGACATTCTTCAAAATATCTTTGTTTTCAGCATAAGTTTGTCACACCAAAGTATAAGTTTAGACATTGTTTAGGCCTAGTTCAATAATGGTAGAAATTATTATAACAATGTTATGCATCACCATTTCAGTTTCTCAGAAATTTCTCAAAAACTACTGTATTTAAATCTAAAATGTGTTAAATACTTATGTTTACAAACGTCGTTTCATTTTTATACAATCTCAGCACAAGATTAAGCAATGTAGCCTACCAAATCACCTATAGGCCTAGGCCTATTGAAGTTATCAAGAGATCAATGACCGAAACACAGATGCACACACACAAACACACACATTGATACCGTATATAAGCAAGAAAATAAAACAGCCTAATTCGGACAACATCTTTACTCTGGGAAATAAACTTTTGGTAGAGCATTTATGCAAGACCTGGCAACCCTTGAGTTAACGCAAGCTCTGTTGTTCTTCCTTGTTGCATAGCCTATGCTTTCGATTCACCATGAACTGCAACTTTCGTTTTGTCTTGACAGTTGAGAGTGGGAGTATTAAGCACGGTTTGTTCAACTGCTTATTCTGGATTTTTTTCTTTACTTGATGTACTTTATTGCGTTTCTGAATTCTTTGATCAGGAGTTTGTTACGATTTGCACGTACTTGCGTTGCTTTGTTTTGGCGTGTTATTAATCACCGCCGTTTGCGATATATTCGGCAAATTAACATGGAGTCAGATGAGTGCGAGTTTGACTCCACATGGGAGGAAGAATGTGAGAATAAAGCACCCAGAAAGAAGGTATGTTTGGGCACTACGCTTTATTTATTTTCCCTCCCTTTATTCATTGAATCTTGTTTAGGAAGGTTGTTTTAGCCTATTTACCATTTAGCCTGGGCTACCATTCTTCCCGCTTCTGTTTCTATGCATACAGTATGAAAATATTTATATATATATATTTACAAACAACTGTCTAATTTTGGTATTTCTGTGTGTGTTTAAAGAACTACAAAATGAAGAGAAGGGACATACGTGCTGCTAAGGACATGCAAAGCTTTCGGCATAGTTGTCGGGTAAGTTCATTACCTTGATATAAGGAAGAGTGGGGTAAGATGTGTCACTTTTTACTAGTGCTCACTGCAGAGTCTGATGTCCAGCTTCACGTCTCTATGTCTAATGGGTGGAGGGATAGAGTAATAGGTCGGGCTAAGGTGTGGTTAGATATTCTTTCTCCAACCATTAAGCCAAATTCCATTCAGAGAGGAGGAGCTGGGCTGGGCTTCACACTCCACCCATGGCTCTGCATTGAGCCTCTCCTTTTTAATGCAACTGTCCTTCTTGACAAGGAGAAAGGAACAAGAGGTAAAACTAATGCGTCTTATTACGAAATTACTTCATTAATGAAATTCATCTAATTCATACAGCTAGTTGTCATAACAAAAAGTGTGCATATTTTCCTATATTTAATGAGGTAACACAGTTTACCAACTAACACATCTCACCACACTCTCCTTCATGTCAAATGAGCATGTCTACTCGCATTCATCTATTGAAACGTGTAGACAAACAACAGGTGAAAATCTAAATCATACAAATGGAAAACCTATTGTAGACTGTTATTTCTCAAATTTTGACTTGATTGTGTTTGACTCTAGAACTTAGATGATGAAGATAATGACAATGAAGACGAACCAGGTCAAGTATGTAATGCATCCTTTTCAACTATTACACAGAATTTTCCACTACTTGCTTGTCAGTGTAGGCAACAATATTTCATTATACGGTCAACATGTCTTATTTCTACCTCATCATGGGCCCCATGAGTTAAAAAAAAATAAAAATAAAAAATAAACGTATGAATGAAATGTCAATCAGTTTTAAACACAGATGCGTCATGCGTTTAAAACATCAGTGTGTGACGTGAAGAACTGATCAATTCAAATCTGCTTTCATTCTTTGACTGGCGGCACTGAGCCAGAAACAGATTTAGTTGTCATTATATCACAACTGTCTAGTGTATTCATCAACATAATATTTATTTTTTGGTTTCATTAAAAATGACTAAGTACTTGTAAAAACATTAAAGGGGTCATGAACTGCATTTTTTTCTAAGGTGCACTTATAATGTTTTTCACATCAAAACATTTCATAGCCATTTTCTACCCTCATTTTAACCCGCTGATTTGAACTCTCTGTTTGAATGGGCATGTCTTTTGTAATGTAAATGCCCACTGCTATGATTGGCCAACATCTTTGCATATGAAATAAGTATTACATGTGAAACTCTCAGAAAAACTTTCAGGTTCTTCAGGTTGTAGCCAATGATGGACATGTCTGTTGAGCACATGAATGCAGTGATCTCGTCACTGTAACTCAACTTCTGCATTTCCATGAATGCTTTGCTTATAACTAACAGTACGAACACGGTGTAAATAAGAGATTCATTGTGTAGTGTAGACAGCATGATTGATTATAACGGGAGTTTTGACGAAAGTTCAGAACTGATAATCTCACACTGTGTGATTAAAAGGTCCAGCGTTTATAAAGGGAACATTTTTAGACTGCTTTCTGTATATTTAAAGGCACAATATGTAAGACTTTTGTAATAAAATATCCCCAAATCACTTACACAGTGTGATATATTTCCTGCAGCATTTACAATATCCAAAAAGAGATTTTTATTGCAGAGAAATTCCAATTTTAAATAAGTGGGCGTTCTGGAAAAAAAATGTCGCCTGTCAATGACACAATATCCGCGGTTTCCTCGGTTTCGCACTCGTACTGCCATAGCAGTGATGTAACCATGGCGACAGACGTGGACAACTGCGTAGTGCGTAGCATTTAGCGGCACGCAGTTCTTGTTTCTTTCAAACATAGACCAAAGAAAGCAGACTTTGGGACAAACAAGGAGAACTAAAATGAGGATCAATATCCGCGTGGCATTTTTGAGATGCCGAGAGCTCCATATCCGCGACTAACTCGGACTTGACAGAGCTTCATGAGTCCTGACTTGACAGATTTATTAGACAGGTGAGCAAATGTACATAAAACAAATCAATGTTAAATAACTTTAGCTCAACATGATGAAATGTTAGAATATGATCAATGTGTGTGGGTAATCCAGCACTTGTGGGTAAGTTCGGTAGAATTAATTGTCCTTATTGCTTCATATCCGCGGGACTCGCGTGTGTCTGTCTCTTTAGCAATCGCGACCTGCTTCATATAATTGTAATGTTAAAAAACATGAATGCTTGCACTCATCCATAAACATTATTAGATCCATCAGCTTGATAGCAAGTCCCACCATTCAGCTCATCACTGCGTCATAAACTTACGCTTTTGTTATTGTTGGAAACTGCACCCTCTTGTGGTGAAAAAAATCATACATATTGTGCCTTTAATCTAAATAACAGATTATTTTCATTAGGCCGTGTGTCCACCAAAGCGTTTTTCCATGCACCTGGCATGAGCATAACGATTCGCTGAGCGTTTTTTTCACCCCAAAGCCCCGAGCGCCTGCGTTTTTTACAGGTCGCCAAGAAAATTTGGATAAAACGCATGGCTCATCACTGTCGCTTTTTACCCAGCCGTCCAATCACAGTGGAGGAGGGGCGGGACTAAACCACACTGACCAACTGTCACAATATTCTTCAACCAACAGAGCTAACAAAACAAAATGGATGGAATATACATTTTTATTATGAAACAAATTATCTGCGAAATCAGTTACAAGTAAACTGTCCTGCGGATATTCTGTATCATAGCAATGAAACATCTCAACGGAAAAAACGCTGCGCTACCAAAACGCTTGCAAGCACCCAAAGCACAGTGTCTTTAGGCTTGGCCTTCTCGGCCTACAGGAAAGAATGTGTTGGCACATTTATGTGATATTGTGTTATATCAACCCTGTTGATTAGTCTCCCCCTATTTATAGCCCTTGTGTTTCTCTTGTGCCTTGTCAGGCGCTGTTTGGTGTTCCCCTGTCTGCAATTGTTCTTTATGCCTCCTGTGTTTTCTGGTTGTTATGTTTGCATTTTCATTAAACTCGTAAACATCTCCTACATTCTTTGGACACAACGTTACACAAACATATTTTATAAACATGTTTCACTTGCGTCTAACACATTGTGTAGTTAATTATAAAGTTTATACTGGAGGATTTGTGACTGTATTTATGTTCTAACATGCTCTGACTCTGTCACGTTGTATTACAAACATGTTGGCTCTCATAGTCTGCTATAAGTAAATCAACTAACATGGTCATTATAAAAGTATTTAAATAGCAAAAATTAGTTGAAATAAAAATGGTACATCAGTCATACAATGCTAAGTGTCAAGTGACAAGCTTGATGTGTTGCCATAGAAATAGAAATATGAAACTGTATTTCTATACTTTCAAAGCAGGGAGAGCTTAATAAAAGCAAGTCTATTAGGAAAAAAAAAACTTGTTCTAATTTCTAAAACAGTTTACATCAGATATGTTAGCAAAGCCCTGAACTAACTAAAATGTAACAAATTAAATTATTTGCTCCACAAACATAATGTTTGTTACATATAACATAGTTCAAGAAAATAGACAAATAAAACCTCGCAAGCTTTGGTGCGTACTATGAGTGGTGAAATTGGTCTTTAATATTCAGTCGGCCCTTTTGAAGGGGCTGATGTAGCCCGGGCAGAAATTAATTTTGACACCCCTAGAGTATTCATAGCCCACAAAGTAGTCTTGAATGGGTTTAGTATTTGTTTTTTTAATTGTTGTTGTTGTTGTTGTCTAGGGCCACTTCTATAACCTGGAGTTTTACCATGGTAAAATAGAATATTCACCTAATGGTATGGCATTGTGCTCGTTCTATATTTAAATTACACAATGAATTGTTATTTGTCAAATACAAGTGTCATTTAATAAAGGCAAATGCTTTAACATATTACCTTTGTTTGCGCAGGTGTTCGCATTGATGAATTTCACCAAATGCGTAAGGGTCAATATCACTGGCTGGAAGACTGTCACTCCTACATTCAATGGTTAGATACTGTAACATTTCATCATTGCATTTTTTAACCATTATATCCTTAAATGTTTTAGCACATTTGAATGACCATCATTTAACTAACCATTTCACAGGTTGTTTCCAATACAAGAACGAGGGGTTAATTGGGATGCACATGTGCTCACAAAAAAGGAAATAAAGGTCAGTTTAAAACACACCATTAGATTTTAGATTACATTGTGTTTCAACTATATTTACCAACCAGCTTAAAAAGTATTTGGCTGACAGGATTTGTCAGATTTGGTAAAAATCAGTCTCGGTTCAGAAGCTGAACAATATGGATGTTTAAATTCATCTGATCATTTGATTTCCAGCTTTTTCGTAAAGATGAAGAAGCAAAGAGGAAATTGGTGGAATCCTATAAGCTCATGTTGGATTTCTATGGTATATGCTTGGTCAACGAAACAACAGGAGAGGTGGACTATGCTCCAGACTTTGAGGATCGTTTTAAGAACCTGAACAGGTTTTTACTGTCATGTTTATCATTTTTATTGAATTTCATTGATGTTGTTTCAATACTTCTAGGAAGTGGTCAGAGATTTTTCTTTGATTTTTCAGATATTCACACAATAACCTGCGCATCACACGCATACTGAAGTGTTTGGGGACTCTAGGATTGCAGCACTACCAGGCCCCACTTTGTAAGTTCTTCCTTCGTGTAACTCTTGAGGAGGAACAACTTCCGCATGTGAAACAAAGTGTTCTTGATTACTTTATGTTTGCTGTATTGGACAAAGTAGAGAGGCGAGAGCTGATTAAATATGCCTTTAAGCATTTCAAGCCCCAAGAACAGTTTGTCTGGGGTCCCAAGAGGTTTCTGTCTGGTGAAGTAGATAGCAAAATTGAAGAAAATAAAGACAAAAACACGGCAGAACATGAGGAGCAAAGGGAAACCGATAAGAATGAGATAACAAACAAAATAGATGACAATAATCATGACAGAAGTAATGAAGATGAAATAAACGGGGAAAAATATCAGCAGGCAATGGAAGTGCAGCTAGACGAAACAGTTTCAGGCCAAAATAATGAAGATGAACATGATTCAGATGATAACATTCAATGCAACTCTGGAGACAATGATGCAAAGAAAAATCAAGAGTTGAATGTTAGTGATGCCGAGAAGTCAGAAGAGGTGCATGAGTGAAAAATGAAACATTTTGACAAAGTTAGCAAGCCCTTTATTTTAGTCATGAGTTTGCGTGTTTGTTCCCCAAAACTGAAATACAGAAAATATATTGCAACTTCCTTTATGATTCAAGTTAAAGACTTCATAAAGAAATTATTTTGATTTAGCAGATTATTTTGATATAGCATCTTAAAAGTACATTTGCCTGCCTTGTAAATGTAATGTTGTTTTTGTTGCTATGTTTGTTTTTTCTTTTGTTTATTATGGATTGTACTGAAAGTTTGACAATTCTCTTCATGGATGAACTGACAATTTTGGCTAGAGCCTGACTTCTTCACAAGTAATCAATTAAAGAAACTTGTGATGATGAAGCAAAGGTTGCTCTTTGAAAATGATCACCAGTATATGTGCGTTCTCTGATTTGATCTACTCTTTTGATTTGATTTTTTTTAAATATATATATATATATTTGTATTATTATTATTATTATTGTGATTATGGGGAAATGTTGGATTTGTTATGCCTTATGCTGTATAAGTGTGAAGATTTTGAAAGTTTAATTACACGATTTAGCTGATTAATGACATGATTAAAAAAAATACAATAAAATGTAATTTGTATGCCGTGTATAAATGCAATACTATAATGTCTTATTCTGTTGAGGAATGTAAAAAATGCTGTTATTAGGGTTTCTACTGCTGAAGCAAATTAATGTCTTCCCAATGATTAATGATGCAAATACTATGCTAAAATAGAGCTGTTGTAAACCACACGTGATCATATTGCCAAACAGAGTATATGTTATGGATATTAATATTAAAGACCAGAAATAATTTCTGTTTCATTATCAGATTGGAATATTGTCTTAAAACATTCTGCAAACTACATATACACACGGTCTTCATAAGTACCCTAAAAACTCTTAAATGTGTTGCTTGTCGAGAATAAATCTGTTTAGTGAGATTAAAATGTTAGATCTAGCTACAAAGTCACAAAATAAGCAACATACTAAAGCACAAATAAAGTATCTAGCCTACTCCTGTTTTAGTGGGAATTAACAAGGGAGCTTTTTTTCAGTCATAGGCCTATTATGTTTTAATTTTTATGTCTGTATTAAATTAAGAAAAGAACGGCAAGCCTGGGTATTTTCTGGTAGTATGTTTTATATAAAACTTTTTTGAACATTATTAATAAGATTGTTATTAAAGATTGGATCGTGCAAATAGCACAGAAACAAGTGCCAGTTTAGTCTAGGCCTGCTGTTTTATTTCGTGCCAACATTGGCTAAATTCCTAGCCTTGGTTTTATCACTGAACATTTATGGAAGACATGGCAGTCCTAGTCAACTGGATTTGTTGCATTCTTTGCTGAACTGTATACTAGAAATACTTTAGGTTCACTTCGACTTCAATTCTCTCTTGACAGTGGGAAGTTTGAGCAGAGCACTTTTGCAGAGCACGATTTGTATAAAGCCTACTCGGACTCTGCGTTTTCATAGTAACCTAAAATGACGGCAAATAAAAGTCAAAAAGAAAAATGAAAAAACATAAAATTGGTCCAAAAAGGAAAGAAGGACATGTGGTATTAGAACAACAGGGTGAGTACATGATGACTTAAAATTTTAGGGCAAACTATTTCTTTAAGAATCCTGTGTATATCTTTCAATCAGTAAGGTGCAGTAAAGTTGTGTTCATTACCGTAGCAACGGTGAGCTTCCCTCGCTTGGACAGTAAAAAAGTGAAAAAGGTAGCAGAAGGAGATTTAAATTTGTCTGCCTTGTAGTAAAAGTAATTTATTTACTTTTTTTTTTAATTGGTCTGCCTTGTAGTAAAAGTAATTTATTTACTTTTTTTGTTGTTGTTGTTGTTTCTTTTTTTATTTTTACTTTTGCTTATCATGAAGTGATAAATTAATTCAATTTAGTCTTCACTGATAAGCTGATGACTTTGACTAAAGATTGACAAGACTTGAGACTTGTGATGATGAAGCATAGGTTGCAATATGAAAACTGATTTAGCGGACTGAATTATTTTGATTTGAACCTGTGCTAAAAAATTACATTTGTATGCTTTGTATAAATGCCCATGTAAAATTATACTGTTTTGGTTTATTACTGAGGTTTATTTCTGAAGCAAATGAATGTTTTCCCACTGATAAAATGCTGCTTTTACTGATATAAATAAAATATTAAACTAAAGCCTGTTATACACCCTAAGCATTGAAAAGCAGAATATAAAATTAATATAAAATGTCAAATTAATATAAAAAATAATGTCTCGAAATCACTTTTCTTTAATTGAGAAGGTTTCATCTCTGTCACATTATCAGAGTAGAATATGCACATTATACAGCGGTAAACTGTCTTCATATTAAAATCCCCAAATTTGTTGCATGTCACTTTATCATAATAACTCTGTTAAGTGGGATTAAAATATAATTAGATCTAGCTACAAATGACCTAAATAAGCAACATAGTGAAGCACACATAAATTTGAATTTTGTAATCTGTGTACAATCATGTTTCCGTGTGAGTAAACAACTGGTAGCCACCATTTCCTGTAATTGTCACATTTCCTGTCATTATGTTTTGCTTTTTATCTGTATTAAAATCCAAAACAGACCATCAATCCTGGGATTTTATGTTAATAAAATAAATTTGTAATATAATATTTGCCTTGAACAGTTTGTCTGGGCTCCCAAGAGGTTTCTGTCTGGTGAAATAGACAGCAAAATTGAAAACTTCAGGCATGATACAGGCAATAAGCAGCAAATGGAGTAACAGCAGTAACAAAATAAAGGGAAAGTAAAACGAGGGAATGAATTAGCTGATAAAATGGATGCCTTGGATCCAGTGTAAGTGGCATTGGATAAAATTGTCTGCCAAATGCATGAATGTAATTTTAAGTACTTTGGAATAAAGTAGAATTTTGTGTGTTTGTGGTCCAGTGGGAATAAATACAGTCACCGTGAAAATACTCAAATCAAGAATAGTCCTTAGAGTTTAATATTTTCTGGTGGTCTGGTATGTGTAAAAACATTTAGCAAAAAATGAAAAAGTGCCATTTCAGTCTAGGCCTGCTGTTTTGATTTTGCAACCCATTTGTAAATTGTAAAGAAATTCCTTTAGATCCCACACACAATAGAAGACATAAGCTTACTCAAGGTTGTTATTTCTTTCGAATTTCCTCTTTGCTTGCAGAAAAGAGAGATGAGCAAATTGCACTCTTAAAATAATTTAAAAATTGCATGTTTTACAAGCATTGCATTCTATGCTTTGATTGATTGATTTATTGCCTGACTTTTGAATGTTTTGCTGAGACCGTCAATAATCAGGCCATTTAAAAAGAGATGAAAGCAAAAGTACAAGGTTAGGCAATTATAGATGAAGGAACCTGATTTCTTGGTTTCTATTTGAGAGTACTAGGTTAATTTCTTTACCTTTCATTTTCGTTTTCATATAAGAGGACTGGTAAATGAGAAGGAATTTACAGTCTGATATGAGTCCAATGATGACAGCTATGATTCTCTAGATCAGTGATTCTCAACATGTTTGGCGATATATATTTATAAAGGATAATTATAAATGTTATATAGGATAATTATATATATTTTATTTATTGTATTGTATGTCATTTTATTATTATTTTATTCATCTTTTTTTCTATGTGTGTGTGTGTGTTTTCTGTGAATTTCTCTTCTGTAAAGAAGTGATATGTAAATAAATCTTTTCTTGCATACTTAGGCTACTGTGTATTTTGTGATTTTACGGTCAAAGCCAATAAAAGTAAAATAGGGTGACTGGTAAACATAAATATAGGGCATGACATGCACACATTTGTGAATATAATATAATAATTATAACAAAAGGAGGACAAAAACAAGTTTGTTGTTGGTTTCATACTTCAACACTTATGCACTGGCCAATTGCTTCTTGCTGCATGACTGGCATTGTATTTGTATTAGGCTACTTTTTATTTACAACTTCTTTATTTTTATCTCCATATTATACTGACTTTCTGTAGGCTAGGCATTATTTGGGTCTGCTTAGATATAAGGCAACTTAGATATATTTCCAGTGTATTGAGTACGATTTGTATGCACAAAGACCACTAAAAGATAAATATTTAATTTATGATTACAGAGCAACAAAAGAAATAAGGAAAATATCTTTAAACTGACCCAAATTTAAATAATTAAATTTGACCAGATGACCAGGACTCCCTGGTAGAAGAGATATTGTATCTCAATGGGACCTTCCTGGTAAAAAAATAATAATAATAATAATAATAATATACACATTTTAAAAGAGCCAAAACCACTACAATGTTACGTTCATTAGAACAAATTTTCAACACACTCTTCCCAACAGTAGATGGCGCACTTGTGCTAATCTTTTTTTCACGAGCAGCATTTCCCATAGACAGTAAAAGGCATTTCCGCACACATCCTAGTTGGTATGGTTACGCCAGGCTTCGTGATAGTAACACAGGGGCCAGTTGTGACAACGTGATGGTTGTGACGGCATTAATTAGCGACGTTTCTTTTAGATAAAGTTTTAGTCAGATGACAGAATTTGGGTTTCTTTTTTATGTCGTTGAAACTAACGTTACATTAATGGCCTCTTATACACACGAAGAGTTAGAACTTAGCCAGAAACATGAAGATATGTGAGTTCTTTCAGTTTGTTCTTGAGTATAAAGCTCTAGTTGTCGGTTAAAAAGTATCTCCCAGTCACTAATTCCTTGTTATGAAGCAGTATGGCTTAATGGATATCATTTTCCTCATGTAGACTGGGAAAAAGAGCATTACTGCTGCAACAGATGGAAGCGCGTAGTGAACAGCAGAAGGCCAAGAAGAAACAACAGTGTCTGATGTCTCAAGCAGCGAAGGAGAGGAATGCTCAGATCCTTAAGGTTGTCTATATTATAGCCTATATAATGTACTACGCCTATATATCATAATGTATTCCAAACATAAGTACAGTGAAATATTTGTTTTTAACTAATTACTCTGATATGATATTCTCGATGGAATGACTGTATGAAGATGGAATGACTTCATAGATTTTCATGTTTCAACATACATTGATATAAAGTGTATCCAAAAGTGTTGATAGAAAATGTAAGTCAATATGTTGCATATGTGTATTAATGTATAATATGCACTACCATTAGTTTTTGTTTTTTGTTTTTTCACTTTTAATCCTGCTTGTCTTTTGTAAAATAAAATTAAATAAGAGGTAGACTTCATAAGAATTATCGGTAATACTTTACAATAATGTTTTATTTATTAACATTATTTTACTACTTTAGTTAACATGAACTAAGAATGAGCAATACTTAAATCTACAGCATTTATTAATCTTAGTTCATGTTATTCTCAACATTTACAAATGCATTATTAAATAAAATAAAAGGTTGTATTTGTTAACATTAGTTAATACAGTCTGAACTAATATGAACAATCAATGAACAGCTAGATTAGTAAATACTGGAACAAATTTATTGCTAATTGTTAGTTTGTGTTAATACATTAACAAATGAGACGTTATCCTAAAGTGTTACCATGCTATTATCATTATTGAATGCTAACTTTTGTGATGTTTTGTTGTATTAGTTGGCTTGTCTTGCAAAAAATTACATCCTGTAATAGTTACTTTAAAAAATATGAAAATTTGTATGATATTATCAGCAACAGCAAATCATGTCTTAATTGTTTGGAAATACTCTTAAATTGCAGCACATGCATACATATTTTTTAAAGTTCCAGAATTCAGACATTATTACATAACATAACAATGACCGTTCCTAACTTCTTAGCCCGGTGTAATTAAATTCTTAAATTGATTGTGGATGTTTAAAATGTTTTTGAAATTTGTCTGTATTTATGTGTGCGTTTCTGTTGTAGGATTTACAGAATGCCGAAACAAATCTTCAAACCAGACAGCTCCTTCATCCGGATATTGTCAACCTTGAGGTATTTGACAGTTTACTTTCTGTCTCATAAAATAAAATTGCACAGTGTTTAAGCAGGTTATAATAAATGTTCCATTTAAGGTACTTTTTTGCATGTCTAGATGATGCCAACGGCAACTGTGTGCCCATCTTTGCCATCATAACGAATTGAAAATAGGCAGTTGTAAAGCAAATATAAAGTGAAAAAAATCAAAAGTAAATGTAAAGTGTTTTTAATAGAACAAGACAGCTGCTCTAGTTTAAATGTAAATGCCAGAATGAAATGTTTTAGCTACACAAGTTATAAGAAAGTAAATATTTATGAATTATCTGCTCTTTTGTCATCCTGTCATAGACCTGTTATTGGGCCTCAGTTGAAAGGAAACTGCCAGAATGGGAGCAGTATTTGCTTGGGAAAGGACAGCCGCCAGTGAGTGAGACTGAGAGATTGCTTAGGCAACAGAGACTGAAAACTAGGCAACGAGATGCCTCACCTGCACAACGCAGGGGTAAACCCCCTCGACCCAAACCTAAATCAGCTGTCTGAATGATGTGTGAAGCTTGTCGAAATAAATGATCACACGCAAGTAACAGTCGCGTGACCAGACTATTCTCCGCTTGCGTCGACCAAAAACTTTGACTTTTCGCAACTTTTTGGAAATAAGGTCCCATGGTGGTCGACTGGAAGGGGAGGGACTTAGGCTCTCTATATGCTGATTAGCTGCTCAGAAAACATTTCTTATCTTTAGCAATGTTTAAAACAGTTGTTTGCCTTTTTTCAGTATTCTTTGATGAACAGAAAGTTAAAAAGAACAGCATTTATCTGAAATAGAAAGCTTTTGTAACATCATACACTACTGTGTAAATGTTTGGGGTCAGTTAAAAAAATTTTTTAAATAGAATTTAAATATTTTGTTCAGCAAGGATGCATTGCATTTATCAAAAGTATAAACATTTATAATGTTACAAAAGCTTTTTATTTGAGAAAAATAGAACATTTAAAACATTTAAAAAATATTCTTATTCATGTAACATTTTGAACAGTAGTGTATACACACACATATACAATCACCTAAAAGATTATTAGGAAAACCTGTTCAATTTCTCATTAATGCAATTATCTAATCAACCCATCACATGGCAGTTGCTACAGTGCATTTAGGTGTGTGGTCCTGGTCAAGACAATTTCCTGAACTCTGAATGAATCTACTGTAAGTGAATGTCAGAACGGGAAATAAAGGTGATTTAAGTAATTTGGTTGGTGCCAGGCGGGCCGGTCTGAGTATTTCACAGTCTGCTCAGTTACTGGGATTTTTATTCACAACCATTTCTAGGGTCTATCAAGAATGGTGTGAAAAGGGAAAAACATCCAGTATGCAGCAGTCCTGTGGGCGAAAATGTCTTGTTGATGCTAGAGGTCAGAGGAGAATGGGGCAAATGATTCAAGCTGATAGATGAGTAACTTTGACTGAAATAACCACTCGCTATAACTGAGGTATGCAGCAAAGCAGTTGTGAAACCACAACACACACAACCTTGAGGGAGGCGGATGGGCTACAACAGCAGAAGACCCCACCGGGTACAAGTCATCTCTACTACAAACAGGAAAAGAGGCTACAATTTGCAAGAGCTCACCAAAATTGGACAGTTGAAGAGTGGAAAAATGTTGCCTGATCTGATGAGTCTCGATTTCTGTTGAGACATTCAGATGATAGTGTCAGAATTTGGCGTAAACAGAATGAGAACATGGATCCATCATGCCTTGTTACCACTGTGCAGGCCGCAGGTGTTGGTGTAATGATGTGGGGAATGTTTTCTTGGTACACTTTAGGGCCCTTAGTGCCAATTGGGCATCGTTTAAAAGCCACGGCCTACCTGAACATTGTTTCTGACCATGTCCATCCCTTTATGGCCACCATGTATCCATCCTCTGATGTCTACTTCCAGCAGGATAATGCACCATGTCACAAAGCTTGAATCATTTCAAATTGTTTTCTTGAACATGACAATGAGTTCACTGTACTAAAACAGCCCCCACAGTCACCAGATCTCCGCCGAAAAGAGCATCTTTGGGATCTCGTGGAACGGGAGCTTCGTGCCCTGGATGTGCATCCCACAAATCTCCATCAACTGCAAGATGCTATCCTATCAATATGGGCCAACATTTCTAAAGAATGCTTTCAGCACCTTATTGAATCAATGCCACGTAGAATTAAGGCAGTTCTAAAGGCGAAAGGGGGTCAAACACAGTATTAGTATGGTGTTGCTAATAATCATTTAGGTGAGTGTATACTGTATGTGTGTGTATTATTATTATATTATTGTGTATAATTGTATGCAAATACAAAATAAATGTGTTCTTTGAATGCATGTTAGGTGTTCTGTTGTTTGAAAATGAGGGAAAAAAATCCAACCGTCAAAGGTTTAGTTCACCCAAAAATGAAAATTATGTCATTGATGACACACCCTCATGTCATCCCAAGCCCGTAAGACCATCTTCGGAACGCAGTTTAAGATATTTTAGATTTAGTTCGAATTGAAGCATCAAAAATGCATTTTGGTCCAAAAATAACAAAAACTGACTTTATTCAGCATTGTATTGTCTTCCGGTTCTGTTGTCAATCCGCGTTCAGTGATGCTGTTGACGTAAAATGCTGCTGACGTGTAATCCGGTGCATCTGTATTCGGGTTCATATATATATGGCTGGACAAAAAATTGCAAGTCTTCCTTCGTGTCGAAATCCTTAGACATGTTTGTGAAGATTGTTTTGTTTACAGCGTGCATCTCCCTCAGACTGTGAACAAAGCTCGGACGCACACATCAGCAGCGGCTTACGTCACTAGCATCACTGTAGCGTAGTTTTAGTTATTTTTGGACCAACATGTTTTTTCGATGCTTCAAAACACTCTAACTAACCCACTGATGTCACATGGACTACTGTAGTGACGCAGATGGTTTCATTTGTCTGTTTCTGTTTCTCAACTTGGGGATGAAACTGCTCCAAAAATATGAACAGTCATTCGGAAGACAGCAGCAACCTGTGTAACATCTCCACCTGGCCACCACAAGAAGCGTAGAAAGTCCCTGCCTTCCTCTGCCACTTTGACCTGGTAAAACATTGCTGTAACATCAGTCATGAAAGCAACAAGTTCTTTTCTGAACCTCAGAAGAACTCCAATTAAAGAGCTTGTGAGGTTTGGGCCTTGTAGTAGTTGATTGTTTAAAGATGTGCCCTGGTATTTTGCTCCACAGTCAAATAGCACACGTAATGCCTTTATGAGGGTGGTACACACCATGATGTGAAATGTACCAAACTTTACCGTCAGCGTCAGATCAATCCAATTGACGCTCTGGCACCTTCTCAGCATAACCTTGGATAACCTTATCATTGACAAAGTCTGTATATTCTTGTTGAAACGTTTTCAAACTTTCTTTTTATCCCCACAAGACGCTGTTTGGCAATGTTACGATTTTATGACATAACAACTTTTTTTTTTTTTTTTGAAAGGCAGTTTCAAACTATAATGTCCATTCTTGAAGCTCACAGATTTCTCCATGATTTCCATGAATTTTGCCTCCTTGCTGGACATTTCTTCTTTGTCCTCTGACATTTTGTTTTCATTGAAATCATGAAGGTATTGCTTTTCCAATAGCAACTCCAAGGATTCAACAGAGATCCTGTTTACTCTAGCAGTGTTTTGTTCATTTTGATAACTGCCTAAAGAACCATTGACGACCCACCCCAATAGGGTTCGAATGGCACTATATTCACTACTACCCATGGTTCAAGTAATTTGGAGGCGTTGGTACCCATCAACAACTCCACTTCAGCCTGAATGTGCGGAATTTGAATATCATCTTGGGCCAGTTGTTCAAAGGTAAGCTGATCAGATTTTGGTTATCGGATTGGATCAAATCTTGAAAATGGGTTGTTCAAAAGGGAAAGAAGGAATCTGAAATCAGATCAGATTTTAATCTGGATCAAACCTTCAGTTTGTGTTGTTCAAAACTTGTCAGTGGGATTTGGATAACTTTGATCGAAAAAAACAGGATTTTCCTGATCCCAACAGGGGGTAGGATTTCAAGGTGGATGTAGATGTAGTAAAACTTAAAAATTGGTCAAATAATACATTTGTATCATTTAGTGTAGCCTATATACTTTTATTTATATTTTGCACTTGACTTGTGTAACAGTGATAAAGTGGACATTGGCTAACATTTAAGCTATTCAATAGTAAAGTAAAAATAAAATAAAAATTATCTTGTCCCCATTTGTGTTTTGTCTCAAAATAAGAAACACTTATGTGACCACATGTTGGCTCTGCTACCTGTCCTTTACATAGCTGGTAGCCCACGTTGTGATATGTTGTCCCATTTATCTGGATTTGGTGATCTTGAAAACTGTGTATCTGGATCAGAGTTATCCAGTCCAATGTTTCTTTGAAAAACCAGCATAAAAGTAAGATGGATTACCTCATCCTGGATAGGAAAAAAATGGGATTTCCAAATCCGGATCATTTTGATCAAGATTAAATGTTTTGAACAACTGGCCCCAAGATATGGCCATTTGGTTAGGTCTTCCTGATTGACCATGTTAGCTTGGTTTACGGGCATTTGTTTTTGTGTGTACACTTCTGGTAATTCATAAAAATGATTACCATCAAGACTTGAAATCTCCAAGTTGCTTACCACAAAGCTTGAGACTGTTGTTTTGGGACTCATGGTAAGCAAACAAATATTTGTCTTTCGTCCATTCAGGTGCAGCTTCCTCATTAAGCTTGCTGAACAAAAGGTAGAGGTACTGCCTGTGTCCAGAAATGCATAAGTTTGAACAATTTTGTTGCCCCTTGCAGACTTCATTGGACTGGAAGGATAGGTAAGATACCACTGCTACTCCCGGCCCCAATATGACCACACATTTGGGCAGATACAAGTATTGTTGATAGTTGGTTCTACATTCTGTTCATGGTTTGTGTTGACAGCTTCATCAACCTTGAACTCATGAATGTGAAGAACACTGGGATGTTTCTGGTTGCACACTTTGCAAGTTAAGCACCTTTTACATTCTTTGCTCATGTATCCAACCTGTAAGCAACCAAAACAGACAGCTTTTTCCTTTATAAAGTTGACCTTTTCCCTATGTTTCTTCTTCTCAAACTCTTTACATTGCACCAACGAATGACCTTGTGAATAACACAAACAAGTAAAGTTAGAATTGAATTGCTTGCTTAGATGTTCAGCATTTATCCTTTGGATTTCCCCAACAACAGGTTTGTTCACATTGGTAACATTGGTAGCAAAACTATCCCCTTTTAAATTTGGCTTTGACTGGAATGGTGACTTCCATTTGTAGACATCCTTCGGTTTACCAGGTGTCCTCTTCTCTACATGTTGAATAGACCCAAATATTGGATCAGAAATTATTTTAACTTGGTATTCAATGAAGTTGAAAACATGAATAAATTGGGCTCTTCTCCTCTGTCTTTCCATGACATCACATGCAGCTGTTCTCCATTTTTCTCTGAGTTTAAATGGAAGCTTTAGAATTACTGCTCTCATGTTTGTTCACATGTCCAGTTCTTGCATATACTGTAGATCTGCCATAGCATTGCAACACCCATGTAAAAAGAGTGCATAATCTTGAAGAGCTGTTCTACCTTCATACCTGATCTTGGGCCACCCAAGCACCTTCTCCATATGCAGCAGAAACAAAATAATCATCTCCAAACTGCCA